ACCACGTATGACAATGAACAACAGTGTAATTAATAATAATAATAATAATTTTACGTTTAATTTAATTTTAGGAAAGTACAAACTCGCCAAAAAAAAACAACACACGCCGTCACCGTTATTATTTGATACGATAACGTTGTGACATGATAAAAACGCGCGCCAACGCCACGCGCTGCCTAAGCCGCCTCAGATGCTTTTCTATGAGCGAGATATATTATATGAATCCCATGGAAGAGACGATTAGGCGACTGGCGGCAGTCGGCTATTCGAATTAACATTTTATATATTAGGATTTAAATCGAATCCCTTGTTCTTGTGCCGCGAATTCGGGTCGACTAGGTTTCGAACACGGTTATCAGATGTGACGTTTTTAGCAGTTAACTATGAACAACGCAGGGCTTAAGTACGGCAGCCACTAAATGCTGCTAGTTCATAAAATCAGGACCCTTTCGTTCTTGAGTCGACCGAATTCCGGAGCTCATTAATCATAATTTTCGGATGTCCACCAAAACAACGGCACCGTTTTCTATTGCCGTCCGTCTGGAGTTTCCGTTTTCTGCACGACCAAGGAATGTTCTCTTATATACCCTAAACACACTCTTCCACGTGGCCAGGCCAGCGTTATTGATCCTCAAACCCGAAGCTTGTACCGTTGTTTAAACGACCATGCAGTTATGGAAAGATTGAATACTAAAAACCCAATGTTACTCTTTTTTTAAATTTATTTATTAAGTATATTGTGTACATACGGTAAAATCAAAGAAGAGTGAAGACAAATAACGTTTATTGCAGAAGAACCAAAAATGGACTAAAACAAATAATTGTACAACTAACAAAATTATTGCGTTATGTTGTTGTTGATCCTGCCTAAATAATGTTTGATCAAATATAATAGAATAATATTAGAAATGCCTGAAATCAACCATAAGTATATGTATACATTACATATATTTAAATGGAATTGTTTGGTTTAAATATATATTCTAAAGTAAATTTATGTACAAGACACTTCATACATGTAACATTTTAATAGTTGAAATATTTGTACTTTATTTAATTTAAACATTTCAAAAACAAATACAATATTTATTGTTATAATACTAAGTTAATAAGCCCCGATTTTTTATTAAGAACAAATAATACGAAAGCCTAATAAGTATTGGCTTTTGTTTACATGCACTATTTTATATTTTAAGTTTATTTTTAATGTGAGGTCTTTTTTTTTGGTTTTCGCCCAAACATCGTTGGTTTATTCATTCAAACTAATACTATGGTTACAAGTTCAACAAAAAAACAATGTAGATAGGAAAATAATATTTTAAAGAAATTAATTCTTAAATTATTTATCATCAGCTCACACACACTTTTTCCAATACAATTTTTTTTCTCGAATATTTACAACCTTCGTTGTACTTATAGTTGTTGTGATATACATTCATATAATCGAGCTGTAATTATTTTATTCTTGAAAGTCAATACAAATTTAACCTTCTCCGATTAGCGTCGAAGCTAAAATAAAATATTTTTATTTACAACTATTAGGAACATTATGCACAGTTTAATGATTTTAATAGACTATTATTTATTACAGTTTGCTTTGTGACATTATAATGTATGTGTACGTATGGACATGTTAACAGTATATATTATTATCATGCACAGCCATTGTAATTTGTTATGATAAATAATAATACTATTTGACGTAGTATAGTGCACGAGCGTGTACTCGCATGAAATAAACAAAAGAAAAAGTAAATCAATACACTTCCATTTTATTCAATACGTTATTTTTTATGAAGCACACGGATGCAACATACACGAGGTTATAACTTTTAATATTTCTATGTAAACACCGCGAAATGAATATTTATGTTTAACATGCGAAAGATTAAGATATTTATTTGCTCCCGGAAAACTCCATAAATAACGTGTTAATGGGAGGGGATTTTTTTTTGTAAAAAATTACATTATAGTGTGCGTTGTGTTCGCATAAAGAACAAATGCAGTACAGCAACCCAAAGGGGACGAACAGAATGCGTTTTTTGCTATAATATTCTAAACACAAAACAAGTGCTAATTAAAATTTAGAGACACTGCAAAAAAAAAATATATATAAAATTATGGTGTCAGGCGCTGTATTGATAAATTTACTTACTATTTTCTATGTAAAATACAATTGTTATCATCAGCACACGATTTCGTTTAACGGGCTATATGATCGAATTTAATTTTGCGAAAACTACACGGACCGCTCTGTTTTTAATTATCGCAGAAAGCTCCAAGAAAACATTACACTGTGTGTTTACAACGTTTTTAATTCAAATCCAAACGGACCCCCCATAAAAATACCGGAGTCCTTTCAGAAACCAATTTTATGAACATGAAAAACCTCCATGCGGTCAAATGCCAGTGGCCCTTGTCGGTTAAACGAACCGTGACACCGACATAAAAGCCGTCGACTTCTATTGAGTACCGTGAATGTCATTTCTTGTACATTTATTTATTTTTAATAGCTTCCCTCGAGTCTCGTGAAATATTTATACATCACCAAGTTTCTAATTTTTTTCCACATTTTATATTGTACAGTCAGCTGTTTTATTATTTAATTCGATTGTATTATTCGCCAAAATTCAACCGCCTAACCTAACCACCGTAAAAAATAATTATAATGTAATGACGACTATAGCCAACATTGATGCGGTGTTTGCGACTTTAATTTAGAACACAAGAACAATAAAATATTTGCTCACGCCTAATAAAACGCTATTAAGGGCAAGCTATTAAGAGCAGAAAAACAACAAAAAACCGACCTACTTGCATTTAAGTACTAGCTTTTACGGCCGAGTCCAGTCCGTTTACAGCTATGTTTTTGTTAATAGTCCAGCCAAACGGGTGAGAAAATTTACTCATACAGTGGCAATAAAGTAAATCGCTTTGAAATTATTCCAAGTGTATCGAGTTATTTTATGCTTATTATTATTACGGTGTGTACTTTTTCTTCGAAACGAATGCCTTCTATAAATGTATTTTAATTACAGTTATAATTGCTAAGAACTAGTTATTTTATTTTTTTAATCACCGACTTAAATTTACCGCTTATTTTAATATTAAATCCAGTTTAAAATTAAAAATGAATTGTAATTGTTTACTTTAATTATGTGTTGGAAACAATTTAAAAGTCACAAACGGTATAATATAATAATTTATTTCACCAATCGAGTACTACACGGGATTGATAAAACTGTTTTGATTGGGTTTTGTTTCAATATATTATAACGTTTAGTACAGTTTATTATTATAACAATAATATATTCAAATAATTATTCAGTAAAATAAAATATTTTTTTTTAAATTAAAATATACAGCTGTTTAGGTTTTACTTTTGAATCAAATTTAACTATGAAAATGAGATGGTTAACCATTGTCATATTTATGAAATTTAAAATTTGTTCTCCTCTATTATTGTAGGTATTACACCGACTATAACATACATTTACTGTCGCGCTCTTTTAAATCCTATTTTAAAAATGTTCTTTAAAATGTCAAACATGAAAATATTGCGTTTTTGTGGTAACTTTTTTTGTAAAACTTATTTTCGAACAAAATTAATCAACGTAAAAATGCACAACAATAACCTGAAGCGATAAAACAAGAATCTCAAAAGAACAAACAAAAAAAAAAGTTATGAAATAGGAAGAAAATCATATTAGATTAAAAAAAAAAATAAACGTCGAACAAAGAAAAACATTTTGTGGTTCATAAAAAATAATACGCATATTTTATCATTTAATTGAATTGTCGAACAAAACTTGTTTGTAGTTTAAATATATAAAAGTATAACGCTGTAATACAAATAATTTAAATATATGATGCGATGCGATTATAAAAACTTCATCAAACACATAGACTGCAGTCTGCAACTGGCTTACTGCGTTTGATTTATTAGTGTTGTATTACATTATGTGAACTGCTGTGTTCATTTTTAACTTGCAAGTACACATTGTATCGTCTACTGAATTACAAAGATTCAAAAAAAATTACAAAATAATTTAACGAGAAAAAGCAATATTATACGCACACACACATGTGTACATGTACAGATATATATTTTGTAGTGTTTATTTTCCATTAGAATTTCTTTGGGATTGGACCGAATGCGCATCTCCGGAATGTCGCTAAACCTTGGCCGTAACGTATATAAGCTTCGAGCACAAATATTGTTTAAAGATTAAAACTAAATAATACAAAGGGTTGGTCACAGTCCAAAGGGGAAGTGGACAGGTGGTGGTACTGCCTGGGGAATACACGGTATTATAAATAGCTCTTTAGAATGCGTCGTCTGGGGTTGGCGGACGTGCACGATGAGTCTTATATGTGATCAAAGCCGGATTTAAAAATACATATACCGGGTGATTGGTTAACTATGGACCACTCAATATCTTAGAAGATATTAGACTTTTTTAATTTTTTTTTTTTATACTTTTATAGTAATTAGTTGGAACAAATTTTATATATATTTCAAAATTTTAACACCATCCCTTATGCGTTAAAACCATATCAACTTTGGATTTTTAAATGGTAACCCCCAATTTTTTTTTGATGATCCTGTTTATTTTTTTTAAATTTAATTTTAGGCGTAAAAACTAGGTAAATCGATTGAGTAGTTAACGAGCTACACAGTTTTAAAATTAAAGGGAGTGTAAAAAATAAATTAAATATCTTGGAGATGCTAACATATTATGGTGACACTTGACTGCTCTCTGTTATTATTTATTGACAATTAACTTTGACAATAGCAATAGTAGCGTTTAAAAATCATAACCGTACCAAACACTATTTACTTTAGGTAAATAATTCACCGATAGTAAATAATAATGATAACCGCTATATCGACTGACAAATATACCACCACTACACACTTTTACATTTATTTTGTAAAATAGTAGGTATGTTTAATTTGTTATCAATACCTTGTGAATATTTTTCCAGCATTTAGCAATTATTCGTTTTGGTTAATTTGACACATTTTGTTTATTCATGCGATTTGTACGTCTTAATTTCTTAGTATATTATAATAATATACTATCATAACTTACTAGATCTATGAACTTGTCAACATTTATTGTGTTTTAAATAATAACATTGATATTAAATATCCATAATCAATGTGAATACCGAGATGGAGTTTTGCTCAAGTGACAAATCTATAAAACCTAAAACCTTACTTATAAAATGTATGCACATCAAATGTCAAAATTAAAGGTACTTATAATAATATATTATTTAAAATAAATAGAGTAATTTGAATTATGCTTCATGATATTTAATTAAAACTTTTATTTTTACAGTATTATGTCTTTGTTCTGAGAAACTTATAAATGTGTAGTTTTGTGTTTTACTATATTGGTATCTGAATTCAAAGAAAAAATATAAAATTTTTTATGAAAAAATTGAATCTTCAATCATCGTTTACTGAATCAATAATAGGTAAGATAATGTATTTATTGATATAGGTGTATTGTAAAAGTACATTTTTTTATTAGAAAAATATAATTAATCGTTTTTTTATTATTCATGAACATATAAAATGTTTTTACATAATAAGTTTTTTTGGATTACTTATGTTTATCATACTTAATATGTTTTATTAAAATGCGTTACTTAAAAATTAACGTATAACTTAAAAATTATCATACTTGTATAATTATAAAAAATATATGTGTATACTGATATTTGTTGCTTAACCATATAATTATTTAAGTATCTAAGAAACTTATTTAATTTTTTAAATTAAATGTTTCAGTATGTTCAATATTAATATGGACTATCTCAACTTACATTGATATTTGTTATTGTCTACAACTACACTACTACCAACGTCAAATTTGGTGTATTATATTATTGTAGTCAATCAGTCTAAACCAATTCCATCAATACATTGTCGAATGTTGTGGTATTCAATTTTCAGTAAATTTATAGGTGTTTTATTTTAAGGTAAAATATATAAGATCATCAGTTTGCAATAATTTAGTTAATTTCTATGAATTCATCACTAACAATTTATTATTATTATTATTATTATTAATTTTTTAGTTACTGTGGCACACTATTGCAGATAATGGTTTTCCATTAAGTCAGTAAGAAGAATAAGTTGGGTTCACAAGTTCAAATCAAATATTAGACAACTATATATATTTAGTTATTCAGCTAAAAATGTAATTCAATAAAATAATTTAAAAGTACTTTATCATGTTAAAAGTGACATAAAGTTTTTAAACTCTAAGTATTTAAACACACGTATACTTAACATATCTATAATTATAATACATTATTTATTAATTATTAATGATTAATTCTTTATTTAATATTAATTTAATCTAAAATGCCGCTGAGAATGTTAATATTTCTGAAATATGTTATTGTCTTAATCCAAATCTTGAAATTATTTTCATGATGGCATAGTTTTGGCATTAGCTATTACAGAATTTATTGACAACTTTCTAGTGGTTTACGATTAAGTTTTTATAAGTAATAAAGTAAATAAAATTATAAAACACAAAATAGAAGAAAAAAAATGTTAACTATTGGATTAAGTGTAAAAAAGTAAATTGAATGAATATACTTATAAATATTTTTTAACTTAAATATGTAAATGGAGATGGATTTCTTCTAGTGGGAAATCATCAAACAAACTTTACCGCCCTAGGTAACTTCCTATAAATACATCACTATATACAGCAATATGTTGTACCTCTATTATTTACAAGTTAATTATAGATATGTTAATTTTATTTAGTCTTAATTTTTTAATATGATTTAGCAAATAAAAATGTTTATTCGTATCTTATAAGCATATTATTTATCTTGTTACTTGTTTTTTTATTTTACTATTATCATAATAAACATAACATAATATAGTATTTAAATGTTTGTTAGTAATATTATTATTGAATTTTAAGCTTATGACTGTTAAAAAAGCTGTACAAAAACAAAAAAAATTGTACTTTATCATTGTCACTCTAAATTTTTGCTTATACCTCGTACAACGAGAAAAACAACCATTTATTAAATAAGAAACATACTTTTACTGTTCATATGAACACATTAAAATAAGTAAGAATAGTCAATACTATGAAATATATACAGTATAGGCTTAAGGTGGTAATATAATAAAGAGTTAATAAATAAATACAGCTTTAAATAATTAAAAATACTGAACTAGAAATAGTTAAAATTGACGCGTTACAACTTTAAATTATAAAAATGAAAATTTATTTTAGTGCACAAGTATTGGATGAACGTAGTTCTTATGGAATCCTTTGTTATCTAAACATTTTAATAAACACAATAGATGCCTTATAAATATGTTGTTTGACATCTTATGTACCTATCATAAACCAGTTCGAACAAATGCTAAAATAGTTTTTGTACATATTAAGTTTAGTTTTTGTTTATTTCTGTATATATTCTGTACATATTATCTATTAACTGTATGTAATACAATATTATACTAAAAAAACAAAAAATTGAATGTTATTTATTAAAGTTTTTTTAAAAATATTTTCACTAACAGAATTAATAATTTGACTAGTTAAGACACCAGTACAAGTAATACTTATTAAGACCAAGACGCTAAATATTTAAAGTAAAAACCAAGACGCTAAATAACTATACTAATTGAAAAATTAGAAAAATGAACTTTTTGATTAGTTTTAAAGTAGTCGTATTTTTATAATAATTTGTTCTGTGTTGATATTAATCTACGCTAGTAACGAATCGTTTTGGTAGAACTACGGTATATACTCTATATAAGACCGTGATTAGACCACGGTAGCCTATGGTTGAAATTGAAAAAAAAAACTATTTACTAGGGCTTATAATATTGTTTGTTAACAGCAGCTAATGCCTAATATTCAATACGTACAGGTACACCGCACCGCTAGGAACACTACAGAAAAAACAGATAAGAAGACATTACCCATATAATATTATTATAGATTTATTATTAGTTCGTTTTCATTGTGACCGACGACCGTCAACTATTAATTTTAATCTACAACCGTATCGTTAATCAATCTTATTTTGTGAAACGTGAGATCCGGCGATAAACGATTTTTTTCTTTAGTTGTAAAACTTATAAAAGCATCTCATATAAGCTAATATTATAATATTGTAGTACTAAGCTATAACTTTAAAAGTACTTGTCTGATTTAGCTAGTTTTTACGCCTAAAATTAAATTTAAAAAAAATCAACACGATCATCAAAAAAAAATTGGGGGTTACCATTTAAAAATCTAAAGTTGATATGGTTTTAACGCATAAGGGATGGTGTTAAAATTTTGAAAAATACATTAAATTTGTCTCACCTATTAACTATAATAGTACAAAAAAAAAAAAATTAAAAAAGTCTAATATCTTCTAAGGTATTGAGTGGTCCATAGTTAACCAATCACCCGGTATATGTATATAAATACCGTATAACATATAAAAGGTGTATCAAAAGGTCGGCGGGCGAGATTAGACGCCGACCGTTATGGTCGTTTTTAATGATTTTAACGCTATAGTAGTAGTAGTATACACTGTGTCTCTGGGGGACAGGACGAACGGCGAATATTATCATTAAGTATATAAGGATTAAATTATTTTATTTGTTAAGATACGGCCAAAAAGGAAGACGTTCCGTCCGCGCACGACCCTTGACTAAGCTTTGATTAAGCTCATTTAAGCTCACGTTAAAGTTCGTGCTCGCGGTGCTTTGCGGCGAACACGAGTAATGCCGGTCGACGGGTAATACCTCGACGGCTGGCAGATTGTTGCCTGTAAGCCTATGTCTTAGATATATAAGTATACACGGGGCAAGCCGACCAGATTTTCATCGACAAGTATTGTAATGATAGAGCGAAAAGAAAAAAAATTAATGCCAACGTTATATTATTGTGCTGACCGGCCTTTGCCTTTGCCTCTCCGATTACCTACCGCTATAATACCATATCGGACCGAGACAGACTCAGGTAAGTTAGAATATGGGGCGATAAAAAACATATATCATAATATTATTCCAAGGACGGTTTACATTATCATATGAGGCGCTCAAATACCAAATCAATTGTGAATAATAGCATGGTTGGATTACAAAAGAGTATCATTTTCAGTGGCCAAGATAAATAACTCCATAGTTGAATTTTTTACCACTAGAGTGCGCTAAGTACATTGACAATTGTACTTACATACATTGTTTCAAATAACTTTAGCTGCCTGTCCTGAACAATTTAATTTTATGGTGTTTAACAGTTTGGCTTCTGAGCGGGTCATATAGTGTTGTTTTTTTTTCAATCTACCCACTTCTGACGTAATACTTTCCCGACAAGACTTTGAGTTTAGTTATCTTTTAAAAGTTAATTCCACTGCGCCAAGTTCGCCGATAGCGTATACGTAATAATAATAATACAATATTTTATGAATATGTATTTGCGGGTTGGGGCCGGCTCGAATTATTATTTATGTACATTAATTCACGTTGCGTATATGGCTGTTTGTCATTTTGTACCTACGCACCGGATCAAATGAATAAATTAATAACTAAAAGAGCTACTTTTTTCTTCGGGTTCACCCCCCCCCCCCTTCCCACGCCCCCCCCCCCCCACCGAAGTGGATTCGGCTGTTACATAAATTATTTCCGGGTTACGGCACGGTAATAAAACATCATCCTCTCTCCGCCGCCGTTGTACATACATATATAACGCAGTCCATTGACAATATTATGCGTGCATTTTTTTTTACCAAAAAACCTTCTTCCGTTTAGGCAGAGTGCAGCACCGACGAAGTAGTTTCTTAACATGCTCAGAAACATCCGGTAGGAAGAACCAAAACACAAACAATATATGGCGACGAGTTAGGCACAAATTTCTTGTAATTATTGCAAAGCACTAAATAAAATAGGTATATAACATAAAGGTAGTTACCATTAGCGACCGACCGAATGGATATTATATGTGATGTAGTAGCTTCGGCGAAAACCTCCCATTGTACGTCAATTGAATTCATTACTTTCAAGTAAATGATTCAAACAGCACTTTTTACAAAACATAATTTTTCGCCCACCGTTAAAAACGGGATTCCTTAAAAATGTCGAGTAATATTAGCGCCTGACGACGGTAAGGTATTATTAGTTCAACAATACAAACATTTTTTCACCGACAACACTCGCCCAGGGATAACACAAAAAGCTTTTAGCCGAGAAACGCGGGGACTCGTTTTGGGTTTGTTTTATGGCACGCGGGGCTTCTTGGTAAATAATAAAAAAATACAAACAAGTATATTATTATGTAAAATTGGCACAGACTTGGGCGAGTAACAACAGCTGTAAAACGAACCGTAGCAAATCTTTATTAAAGTTCATGTGTGATGCATGTGTTGGCAAATTCAAAGAAAAATCACTGGAGCGTACTCGGAGAAGTAATGAAAACGTTTTTATCAAAATTAACAAGATCTCAGAAAACTATTTCTTCAAATGTGGTTATGTACCTTTGCATCGATTTAGTATTTGCAATAGGTATACAATTTGCTGCACCTAACAGGTGAATAAAATATATAGATTTTAAGTTTCCATTTGCTTTTAAAAAGTTATTCCCTACTAAATGGACCTTTAAAATAATTAAAAACAATGTAAATGACGTGCAACGATTCAACATAAAATAAAGATTTTAAACTTGTTTTAGCTGAAATTCTATAATATTATTATCTAATCATAGAAAAACGACTGTGTCGTAAAACTCTGAACCCCCTGTAGATAATATAACGCTTATTTTATTCACCTTTACCTTATGCCTAGCATAAGCCTGGGGTTTTTATTTTACTCGTTGATTATAAATTATATGGGCTCTAAAAGACGCCGCGCCCGCAATATTAGTTGTGTAATAAAACTTTTTTTATTTATTGTTTTGTTTACTCTTAACGTCTTGTTAAAAAGTAAAAAAAGTCAATGATTTATTTACATGCGTTAAACCTTATATTTTCGAGAAATTTTGAATCGCCGTTATACTTGCGCCTTAAAAGTTAACAGGTTATATTAACATAGGTATAAACTGTACTTTTTTATTAATTTCTCATGTCTCGTC